GTTTTTAATGGTATTTTATCGAATATATAGGATTTGGTGCTGTTATAAAGACAGCAGATGTTCAATCAAACTCCACAGTCGCGGTATTTGGTTGTGGTGGAGTTGGATTATCAGTCATTCAAGGAGCCGTTGCACGTAATGCCAGGTAATGACTGAGTCAGTATTATTAATTTCTTAAAATTTAATCAATATATGTTTTTAATTCTGTAGCAAAATTATCGCCGTTGATATTAACCCAAAGAAATTCGAATACGGTAAGATTTTTATTTCGTGAAGTTTGAATAATATTTAATGAATTTATACATACATAAACTTGTTCATTTCAATTTAGCCAAGAAGTTGGGCGCCACTGATTTTGTCAATCCTGCAGACTTTGAAAAACCTATCCAAGAGGTTAAATAATTTGGTCACTTTTATTTGTACATTTGTTAAGATAGTCGCGTATTTATTTGAAATTTTGGTTATGTATAATTATTTCTTTATAAATTAATAGGTATTGATAGAAATGACAGATGGAGGCCTTGATTACACTTTCGAATGTACTGGTAATACAAGTGCTATGCGTGCTGCATTGGAGGTAAATAATCTTGCTTAGGCTAGCGTTATAATCCATATGATGGAAGGTTTTGCACTAGATGATAACTTTGAGTAAGTTAATAATTAATAATTGACATTGTTATTTTAGGCATGTCATAAAGGATGGGGTCAATCTATTATCATCGGTGTAGCTGCTGCAGGAGAGGAAATATCTACACGACCATTTCAACTTGTAACTGGTCGCGTTTGGAAAGGATCGGCTTTCGGCGGTATTAAAGGAAGAAGCGAATTACCTGGAATTGTTGATGATTATTTAAATAAGAAATTAGAAGTTGATTTGTATATTACTCATAAATTTAAACTTGAAGAAATCAATAAGGCCTTTGAATTGATGCATAGTGGAGATTGGTAAATTTTTATTTTTATAGATTTATTTTTTATTATGAACACTTGTTTATCATCATTAATTCGTTCTGTAGTATTCGCTCTGTAATCGATTTGGATTGAAGCAATAATACAATACTTGGCTTTTAAACATTATTAGGTATTCCTATAAAAGTAATTAAATGTAAATGTGACTTTGTCAATTAAAAATTTTTAGCGTTCACTATTAAATATAAATATGGTTTTAAAATTATATTAAGCTGTTTCAGAATAATGTTTAATGTTATTTCTTAAACTGTTTTTAAGAAACATTTGCCTATTCACTTTTGATATAGTCACGATTTTGTTATAATTACACTATTTCATAATTTATTGGATTATATATATATATAAGATAGAGGCATATATAAAGTAGAGCAAAAGTGGTATTTATTACTAAAACAAAGCTCAAATCACTAACTTTACTATTTATAAATCTAGATTGATATTTATAGTTAATAAATTTATATATTTTAACAAACCAAGTTAAAAATATTTTAAATATAAATATAGATCTCTTATACAAATAAGCTTGTTTTGTTTTTTTTGTTTTTTTTAATCTTCAAAGATGAGGCCATGCCTCTATCTTTATTAAAATCCAATTAAACTTCTTTACAAATAAAAATAAAGAAATTACATTATTTGAACTTTATATCTATAAAATACTAAGACTAGAGACTCAGACAGAGCCCTTGCTAACTCAAAAGTTATAGGAGTTATCTGCGACCTAAACCTAAATAAGCTTGTTTTGTTTTAAATATCTAATTTAAAATTTTAAACTAATTTTTTTTTTACTTCAGTGATCCTACCTTTATTTTTTAAATTGGTAACAATTTACAGTAAGAATTCAGTTGGCTAAACCCACCATCTAACTATTAACTGCTTTTTATCTGTACAAATAAAGATTCTTTTAATTTATTTTATTATTGTAACAAAATTTTGGCAAATCAAGATTAAGTGCTAGAGTCTTGTTCAGAAGCAACTTGCCTAAGTAAATATTTTCTCCTTCTAGAATTTTCAATTTTCTAAAAATATAAGCTCCAGACTAGGTCTGAACCTGTTGCCTTGCAATAGTATTCTCATAATAGTTAAAATTAAATTTATTTGTATTTAAATTAAATTAATCTAGGTTTGAACTTGTTGCCTTGTAATAGTATCTTCTCAATAGTATTCTCTCAATAGAATTAATCTAGATCTGAATCCATTGCCTTGCAATAAGATCTTCTTAATAGTATTCTCTCAATAGATAATAGAGAATAAATAATAGATTATATTAAAAATATTTGTATTTAAATTAGATTAATCTAGATCTAAACTTATTAGCTTGCAATGATATTCTTTTTATTTTTTTTTTATAGTCAAGGTTAGCTTCTTTGGCTTATCGTTTTTATTAGATATTAGGATCATGTGGTGCCCTTTTCAAAGAGGCCCTGGACAAGTATATTTTGATGAGGATATATTCTAGCCATATCTGCACCTTTTGGGTGCCTAATTAAGTAATCTACCTATGTACTAGGTGCTACACTAGATGCCATATCTGTAATCCCTTATTATTTAAATTACCTAATTAAATCCTCTGATCTGAGTTTCCTATATCAATCTATATAATCTTACCCAGAACATGTAATACATAAGTTAGTCCAAGTTCCAAGATCATTGCATCCACCTATAGAACTATTAGCATAGTTAACTGATTCATTCTCAAGTGCATTATATGCTAGAGCAGTCCGGTACCAAAGACAGTGATTTATGCAAATCACATAAAACTGTATAAATTGTATAATATGATGAATAATGCATAATTCATTGAAATTGCAGTATAATCTTGCATAAACATACTATTGTTATATAATTATCGCATAATTGAATAATTAAATACTAAATTAAGAAGATTAGAGCACTTACATAGAGAAATTCGATTTCATATTTTTAACAAAATCACAAAAAAAAAATTGAACTTTTTACTATTTTACCACTATTAATTCCAATTCATTCTAACTTATTTGAATTAATTCATTACCCTTTACATACAGCTTCGCCATTGAAACATCTAACTGAAAAAAAAGAAGGCAAGTCGAATGAAAGTTCTTAATTTCAGTATCATTCAGATACATGAAAGTACTTGCGTATAGCCACAAGCTTTACCCTATAAGGTAATATTTATTCCATTTACTTATTTTTCTCTTTATTTGAACTAACGGACTAATATAAATCAATTTTACTAATTTAGATTCGAAATAAGAATTTTTTTTGGAGGGGCTTTGCTATCTGATCTATATTTTTGTAATTTATATGATGCATTTGACTTCATGCCTTCATAACTATTATTTTGTAAAGATTCGAGATGGTGCTAGAGATATGAATTACCCATAACAATATCAATACAGTTTAAATTAATATGGTAAATTATTAAAGCTGATTAAATTAATATTTATGATCAGATCTTTTTAAATGATAAAAATAAAAATGTAAGATTACGAATTAGAATTTAAGAGTATTTAAATAAACTGCTTTTTATTGTAATATTAAAAGTTTTGAAAAAAATATATAAAACAAAAATTTGCATATTTATTAATTAAAAAAAATCACAAAGTAACAGTATATACTCAACAAAAAGAACATCTCAATAAACTTAGAGTTGATAATAGTATATTTTTTTGTGTTTATTGCGATTATTCTGTTGAATGAAACTATAAATCAATAGTTGATAATCATTACAATAGTAAAGCTTATTTAGCAAACAAAAAATTGTATGAAAATAAAGTTCAAACTACACATCAACAAACTCTTAAAGCTTTAATTTAACAAGTGAAATAAAAAAAACTGTAATTAAAGATTTAATTAATGCATTTGCTAGTGCAAATATTCTTTTAGAAAAGGTTGATTACCTATTACCATTTTTTAAAAAATACTTATGTAAAGGAGGTGCTATTCCACATGCTACAACTTTATGATGGTTTTATCTGCCACAAGTTTTTTCAAATCATTATAAAAATTAAATTTCAATTTTTACAAACAAACCTGTTACAATTCTAATAGATAAACTACTGATGATTGTTTTCAAAGTGTGGTTAATACAATTTTTTATTATAAAAATAATACAAAATTAGTTTTTGTAAAATTTTTATCTCAAGTTAATAATACAACGATCAGTCAAAATTATGTTATTGTTATTACAGCATTTTAAATTCCTTTATTTTTTCCACGAATTTTTGTTACTAATTTAGTAGCATATATGAAAAAATCATATTGATAAGTTTTAAAGCCATTAATACCGCAACTTATCTATATTCCATGCTGTGCTCATATTCTAAACTTAATTGGGTAAGTATAATTAATTAAATAGAAATTATTATTTAATATTATAAATATAATAAAGTATATTTATATATTTATTTTAGTGATACATGGAGAGTATTTCTTCATTTTGAATATATTAAAACCTTACTTAAAAAGGTTAAAGATTATTTTACATACTCACCTTTACGAAAAATACCTCTTCTAATAAAAACTCGCTGAAATACTTGGTTTAAAATGGTTTTTTATACAAATAAGCATATTCAATACTGGAAAGAATTTTTTGATAACGAATTATCTTTAAATTCACAATGTGAAACCCTTATAGCAATTACATCCCTTCTTAATTCTCAGAATGAATATAAGCTTATTCAAATTTATATTTCCTTTATTTCAATTTTCGCAAAACAATTTGTTCAAGATCTTGATTTTTTTAAATACAAAATAAGCCTATTTTTCCATACGTTGAAAGTAGACTTACTAATTTGACAGCTTATATTTAAAATAATCGTACAGCTGATTTTTTTGGTCATGAATTAAAAGATCTAATTGTATTACTAGGTTTTAATTCAAAAGAGTTTTATCCAATTTTTAATAGTGCTTTTAACGTTGCTTATAACAAATTTTTTATCCATATTCACCAACATTCAGGATGTGCACTTTT